GTGAGTTGATTAATCCCAGCAGGTAGTGGATAATCCCAGCAAACCGCACCTTTGGTTCCACTGAAGCTCAGGCTGGTTTCTGGCTATGAGGCTGGAACCAGATTTGTTGAGCCTGTAACAGTCCATGTGCCGCTTGCCAGCTTGAACTCAGCTCCCTGACCTCCTGCCCACTTGAATTTGGCACCCTCACCCCAACACAGGGAAGAACCACTAGATGGAGCCTGCCTGCAGCTGTTCTGAGTTCTGCGCTCAGTGGCTCCTCTCCTAGATGGCTACCGGATAGTCACCCTCTCCTGAGGGACATCTGAACCTGAATAATTCATCAGCCACTGTGGTCTGCTGCATCCACTGCTCCATTCCACTGGTGTATTTCTCCACAGAGGCCTCTGGGGTTGCTAGTAGTCATTGTGTGTCTGCAGGTTCAAGCTGCCCTTCCCACACAGTGAGTCCAGGCTCAGGGAGAAAGCACCTTCATTGAAGACTCTCTCTTTGCTCTCCCCATGGGCTTTAATTCTCGCTTCAGATCCTTCTTGCATCCCTCTTCCCTCCTTTTTCTCCTCCTCACTAAGCTATATTCCAGTTTCATGACACCAAATCTCAGAGAGGATCTTTCTCTGCTGCTCACTGCTCTGCCATCTTCTGGGAAGTCAGGGAAAGGAGTAGAACACAAGTGACACTGGTGAGCAGTCCAGCTATGAATTATAGACTTTGAGGTCCCTTAAATGATTTATTCAGTGAATGTATTGTGATCACCTAGTTTGCACTAACTACAGTACTGGGTTAGAAGCCATTCAGGCTGTGACATCAGAAGCAGAGACTAATACTCTTTCATCAGTTTAAGATATATATTTGTCACATAATTGTGAATTATGTGGTTTGCAGTCATTACTAGTTTCAATAATAGCATTTTGATGTTTGTTCTTTGTGTTACACAAAATGGTGGTGCTGCTCCTTACAAGTGACAGACCTTTAGATCAGTAAGACATGACTTGTTCTGCCAACATGACTGTTGTTCATGAGATGTGTCGTATATATAATCCTGTAATGTAGGGGGTTACTCCCTATGTTTCTAACCACTTAATATTGGGAGGCTGAGGCAGGAAGATTGCAAGCTCAAGATCAGCCTGGGCAACTTAGACCCTGTTTCAAAATAAAAAGAAAAAAATGTATCTAGTTCACCGGCTCACCCTCCTCCTGTTGGCCTTAGACAAGTGTTTATTCAAGTACAGTTGTCTATTTTCTTTCTACACTCCCTCCTCCCATTCTTCAGCAGATGGGAAGCTTTCACTTCCGGTCCCAGCTTTCTTCCTGGGCTCTGGGTTATAACTAGCACCTGAGTATCACTATGTGCTGCCTTGATATCATCATGAGCAGAACACAATGCACTATCTCTCCCTCTGAGCCGGTTAAATCCTCTCCAGGCTTCCCAAGATCTGTCAGCTCTTCTAACTCACACCTGAAGCCCCAGAAGCCATCCGTAGTTCTTCCCTCTCCCTTGTTGTACTTCTGCATAGAGTGGGCCCTTGACTTACGAGTCTTGTTTTTTTTTTTTTGGTACCGGGGATAGAACTCGGGTCCTTGTGCTTGCGAAGCAGGTGGTGAAACCACTGAGCTAAATCCCTGGCCCGACTTATGAACTCAGTCTGTTCCCAAGGGCTGGTTGTAATTCAGGCTGGTCAGTTGAAGGCTCAGGCTCCTCTACACAGCCTTCAAAGTCTCTGTCCTATGTACAGGCAGAAGTCAGTGTCCTTAGAGAGACACTGGCCCAGGATTTCTCAATTAACCCCATATAGGAAAGGATGTTGTCATGTTTCTTCCAGAACTCTTTTAAGGGTTAAATCTGTATCTGAGGCCATCTGGAAGCACAAGTGGCTGCCATTTAGGTCATAATTGAAGACTTTGTTCGTAAGTAAAAACTAAAATTCCAGTTGTAAGCCAAGTTGTATGTCAGGCCAGTCATAACTCAAGAGTCCACTGTATTTACTCTGTTAACAAGACTTGTGCATTTTCCTTCTTGCCTTGATCCCTCCTTTCCAGTTCCACCATGACCATCTCAGTCTTGTTTGTGGGATCTATCATCACTACTTTATATTTCCTCTAACACTGATTCCCTGCTAAAGGCCTTCAGGCTTTTTCTGAGTCTTTGGATTACCTCAAGCCCAGTCTTCTCCTAACTTCCGTGGAGCTTCGTGGGTACACCAATAACCTGACACTCCTTCTTCAATTCCTTGAGGGCTGGGATTTGGCCATCTTTGTCCATTTTTCCAGGCAGACAGTCACTGAAACATAATAAACTAGGATTCTAGTTCTGGAATCCACCCAGTTTGGCCCTCAGGGCAAGCAGCAACTCCAGTGGTGCAGAGGACCTTAATATTGATTATGCCCAAAGCAGGCTGTGAGGAGCTAACCCCAGAATTGGCTTGTTTATTCACTGTCTTTTTTTTTTTTTTGGTACCAGGGATCGAACTTGGGACCTTGTGCTTGGGAGGCAGGCGGCAGAACCACTGAGCTAAATTCCCGGCCACAATTGGCTTGTTTACAGGAATGAGTCTGGCTGAAGCCTACGTGCAGAGGTCAGAGTAACTTGCACCCAAATTCCGTTCCCACAACTAAAACCTTCAGACTAGAAGGACAGTGTTCTAATTACAATCACAGATTATGTCTATTCTGTTCCTAATCCGAGAATGCTTTGTCTTGTCCTTCATGAGCCTTGTTTACCTGAATTTCCATAGAAACCGCACATAGCTCGCCTTTACCCCAATTGATTGCCAGTAAGTCAGTGTCTGGGTCCGCCGGGCTTCTCTTGGTTGCACCAGCACTGGCTGTCCCGGCGCCCCGCTTTCTGTCTCCTGGTTCTGTGTCCCGGTTTTATTTCTCAGGCCTGCGCCTGGGCTGGGGAGGGTGCCGAGACCTGACTGCAGGGGTCTCCAGGCTAGTGGCCTTGGGTCGGCGTGGGGGGTGGGTGGGGCACACTGGTGGCTGTGTCTGGCAGTCTCAGGTGTCTCCTCGGGGTCGCTGCTCCCTGCTCAGCTCCTGGCCCCCCCTCCCCCCGCCGCGGTGCCCGGTTGTGGACCGAGCTCTTCAGACGTGCGTCTTCAGCCTCCCTGGAGCTGTGGGTCGGGATGGCGTCGGGCAGCAGGAAAGCGGACGGCGCCCAGCCCGGAGCCCCTCACGCCTGACTGAGCCCGGGCCTGGAGAGTTCGTCCACGGAGCCAGAGCTCTCTCGGGCCTCCCGGGCCTTGGGAAGGGGCCCGAGACGAGGGCGAGCTGGCCGCGGAGTACAGGCCGAGCTGAGAGGGCCAGGACCCGCCCTGACAGGAAGGTGCCGGCCACGCAGCGTACCTGGCTTGGCCGCCAGCCTGGGCACCCGAGCACAGGGCTTTCCGCCGGGCCCGCCCACTGCCCCGCCCCTCACGCCCGACGGGCTCGCTCCCGCGCCGGGTTGCCAAGGCGGCGCGCGCGTTCGCTGAGGCCCAGGCGCGCGGGCGCCCCTCCGCGGGGGCTCCTCCGCGGGGGCCAGTGCGCAGGCGCGGTGGGCCGCTGTACATGCGGATCCCGGCGGCGGAGGCGGCGGCGGCGGCGGTAAGGGCCGGGCCGGGCCGGGCGTCGCGGACCTGTGGGACGGGGCCAGGCGGGCGCGGGCTCCTCTGTGACCTGAGCGGCCCCGCGGCCGACACCCGTGTCCCGCGTGGAGGCTGCGGGGACCCGGTCCGGCCGGCGACCCTGCCTCAGGATGAGAGCGGAAGCGGCTACGGCGCGTAGGCGCCCAGGCCGGGGAGGAGGAGGCGGGGAACGCGGGTCCTGCCCGGGAGCGGACTGAGGCCGAGGCCGTCACTGTGTCGCTGAGTCACGCGCTTCCCAGTGCGCGACACGGCCGCACCCGGGCCTTGCTGGATTTTGAGACAGGGCTAAGTTCCCAGGCTGGCCTCGAACTCTGCATCCTCCTGCCTCAGCCTCCCAGAGCGCTGGTTCCAGGCGTGCACCGTGCATCGCCGCGCCCACTCCAGACTCCTGTTCCGTTTAAATTGCAATGTGACACGTTGAGAACAGAACCGCGGGTTGTCACTTGTTGGGTTATCACACTGAAAAGGCATCTCTTAGCCACCACTCAAGGCAAGAAACAGCCTCCCTGGAGCCCGCGTGGTGGTGAACACCTGAAATCCCAGCAGTAGGGAGGGCGAGGCAGGAGGATCACTGAGTTAGAGGCCAGCCTGGACTACACAGGGAGACCCTGTCTCAAAAAAAAAAAAAGCATGCAGGAGGCTGAGTTTGAGCCCCATCACTGCCTAAAAGTAGAAATCAGGGAAGAGGTGATCTGTGGGAACTAAGACGGGATGGTGATGAAAAGGGATCCCCTGGGAGGTCCTTTCTGAGAGGCGTGGTATATCATCCAGGCTGTCCTCAACTCACAGCAATTCTCCTGCCTTGGCCTCCCCAGTGCTGGGATTACAGGTGTGCACCACCATGCCTGATCTTGCTACTTATTTTTAAACCCCTTCTAAGGAAAGAAAGGAAAAAGAACACATAAGGAAGTGAACAGTTGGCTTTTACTCTTTGTGTTTTCCTAAAATTTGGGCTCTGGGTGACTTTTGCAAAGCCTTATTTGCTGCGCTGTCTCCTTGCCTCCGTTGTTTTTTTTCTTCTCGGAAATACTTGTGAGGACAAACCTTTACTGTCTTTGGGCATACTGGGTCACATTTTATAGGGAGAGCTACTTTTTTTGCGTGCTGGGGATTAAAGCCAGGGCCTTCACACTTAGCAACATCCTCGGGCCTTTTTTCTTTTTAGACAAGGTTTCACTGAGTTGCACCAGCAGGGCTCAAACTTGAGACCCTCCTGCCTCAGCCTTCTAGAGTGCTGAAATTACAGGTGTTCGCCATGGCCTCCGGCTGAAGTACAGTTCCTAATTAGACGCACCCGCATTCTCCACCTTTTCCTGGGCTCCCTGGATTTGCTGTTGAGGTTTCTGCTCCGCTAAACCCTGGTATCCCTTCCTCCAGGTTCTTCTTCACAGCAAAAGCATCACGTAGAATCTCTCCAACTCCTAATTCTGGAGACAAGATACACTTCTCTGATCAAGAAAATAAGGACAGCTGCGTGGTAGAGACTTCTGCAGCGCAACCGAAGAGCTATGGAGAAATGGCACTGGCTGGCGCTGGTGGTCCTGATGGCACTAACGGTTCGGTGGGCTGTCTCTCTCCATTCCTACTCAGGTACTGAGTTTCACTGCTTCAAAAGCAGGTAAAATGCTGGGGTTGGTGCACACCTGTAATCCAGGACCAGGAGACTGCGGCCGAAGGATTGCTGCGAGCGTGAGGCCAGCCTGCCTGGAACACAGAGAGGCTCCATCTCAAACAAACAAACAAGTGTCTGGCAAGCGTGAGGCCCTGGGTTCGATTCCCAGTACCACACACACACACACACAAGCCCCCAAAAGTAGGTAAATATTCCTTTGAATTGGTGTTTTCTGTTTCTTTTGTTTTTTGGGTAACAGTTTTCTGACTGAGAAAGGAATTTCAGGCTTTATTTTTGTGGTCAAGAAAATACATTAGAAAAAGAAAAAAATATGTTTAAACAGTTAATTAAAGAAAGTGTACTTTGTGGTAGGAGAAAACAAATGTACTCTAACTGGAATCTGGCAGGCTGAGGTTGTGTCTTAGACACTGAAGAGCAGTAAGCTCACAGCTGGAGGTGGAAGTGTAGTTGCAGGCATGCTTGCGCGTGTGTGTGTAGGGTGGAGGGCGTTATCTGTAGGTTGAGAGGAAGTGACCGCTGCAGGACATGCCCGGGCCAGAGCCTGGGCTCTCGGGGCGGCCTGGGGCTGGACGGGGTGGCTTTGATCCCACCTGGCCTGGTGCGAGAGTCAGGACAGCGAGAGTGTCTGCAGCCAGATGTATTAGAGCTGGTGTGTAACTCAGTCTTCACAGATCTGAACTATCGACTACATTTTGGTTGTTGCTTTTAAACAATCTATGGGGAGTAGACAGATTCTGATTTTAGTGTTGTTTATAATTTCTTACAGAGATCCGTAATTCCTCTATGCTTGATCTGAATTGTTACCAATATCTCTAGATGTCAGAAGAATGCTTGAACTGACGAAGGCCATTTTATTTATTTATTTATTTTTTGGGTACCAGGGATTGAACTGAGGTCCTTGCCCTTATGCAGCAGGTGGTGAAACCACTGAGCTAAATCCCCTGCCCGAGGCCATTCTATTTTAATAATTAGTTGTATTGGGTGAATAGGAGGAGAAAGTCAGAGAATCAGTTTTTGTGAGATATCAAATCATTGTTAAATTATGACATTTTTTTTTTTTTTTTTTTGGTACCGGGGATTGAACTTGAGTCCTTGCACTTGTGAGGCAGGCAGAGGAATCCCTGAGCTAAATCCCCAGCCGATTATGCCTTAATTTCTTTCAGCTGTTGCTGTTTGTGAGGATTTATTTATAAGTTCTCACCAGGCACATAGAAAAGCGAGATTTTATTATGGAAAATTTTAGCCAAGTTTTCTTCTTGTAAATGTTTACAATTTCAGTGCAAAAGCAATGTGGAATGTGTGTTGTTAGGAAAGAAAGCACTTGTCCCCGAGGTGGATGGAGGTGGATGGAGACTGAACTTGGGCCCTGTTACACACAGCGTGTGAATGAGCTTGGGATTAATGGCGAGCTGGAGGAGTCCTCTTTGCTCTTCTGAGAGCAGCTCCCCCAGGCACCGTTGGGCTGCCTTTCTGGTTGCTTTAAGGGCACTTTTGCAGTTTTAAAAACTTACGTACTAATTTCATAGCCAGTGTCAGCTGAATTTATTGAAGTAGGTCAGACTCTGGATAAAAACTTGTTTCCCAGCCCTAAGAGAGTCATTACCCATTCTTCTATTTGTTAGGGATTGGTAATAAGTTCTTCCGTGTTGACCACACGCCCAGCGCAATTTCAGAAATCTGGATAGTTGGATTTTTTGAGGTGTAGGAAATTACTTCAGATCCTCTCTGACTTTTACTATCCCAGTGGTCCAAAACCAAAACCAAACACACAAAAAATAAAAATCAGCGCCTTCCTTCCCCTGAAAAAGCCACATTCAGTGGTTTATTTATGGAATAGAAACATACACACCCACCCACATGTACACATACACAGACATACAGACATGCGCAGTCATGTAGATACACATGGAAAATACAGTTAACTCACTGGGGAATTCTTTCTCTTTAAAAAAATATTGCAGGTTATTTTCCTTGTGTCGGAGTTAATGTTTTTGATTTTTTCATTTTAAAAAAAATTTTATTTTTTTCCATTTTTAATTTTATTGGTACGGTTTAGATTTACATAATGATCACATGCGTCATAGGGAATTTGTATCTTTACATGATATGTCTTTTTTTTTTGTACTGGGGATCGAACTCGTGATCTTGCACTTATGAGGCAGGCGTGGAACCCCTGAGCTAAATCCCTGGCCCTACATGATATGTCTTGATTCCTTTTTAACCCCATTCCCCTCACCTCCCTTCATCCCCTCTTTGCTTTCCTTATTTACTAAAGACCCATTTCCATGTTTTTCTTCTTTTCTCATTTTTTTCTTTCTTCCTTCATTTCCCCCTCCCCCATCTCTAGTTCCCCTTCCTATTGAATGACTTTTTTCTTGCTTTACATTGTCTGTTATACATGTTGGTCCCTATTTACATTTTCACTTTCTTGTGTCAGAGAGACAATGGGATATTTACACGTGTGTCCAATTTATTTCACTTAAAGAGTCACTTCAAGATGCATCCATTTAGCTATGAATGTCTCAAGTTTATCCTTCTTTATGGCTGAGTAGTACTTCATTATATAGAAAAACCACATCTTTATCCGCTCATCGCTTGATGGACATTTGGGTTGTTTCCAAGATTTAGCTATTACAAACTGTGTCGCTATAAACATGGGTGCTGTTTCTGTTTTTATTTGGAGACAGTCTCACTATGCAGCCCAGGCTGGACTTGAACTCTAGGCTACCGTCCTGCCTCAGCCGAGGCCGGAATTCCAGGCACGTGCCACCACAGCGAGCTAGTTAAGCGGCTATTTAACATCCTGCATGCCCGGCAGGGTGCTTCCTTTGAACTCTAGACTAACTCCATCTTAGGAGCTGCAGTTCTCTTTGGGGCAGCGGTTAGGAAGTAGGACAGTTGTGGTACTGCAAGGACAAGTGTTAGAAGTTAGTAGTTAGCGTCAGTTCTGGAGGATTTGGGCTGGAAGCAGGCCCTCCACGCCCGGCCGCCCCCACCCCGGACTCCAGGCGGTGCTTAGGGCAGGGTGAGCCAGCAGCACCTGCAGGGTGTTTGGGCCGAGAACCAGCCCGAGTGAGCGCAGTCTCGTTACAAATTCCGGCGCGCACGGTGAGTGCAAAGTCGGGCGCACAGCCTCTGGTGTGGAGCCGGGAGGCTCTAAGTGGCTTGCTGCCGCCCGAGGGCGCTCGACTCCCGCCTGGGAAGCCGCTCCGGCTGGGGAGGGCTGTGTGGCCTGAGGAGCTGCTGTGGCCCCGCCTTAGAGCAGAGCCCCGCCCCGTGAGCCCCGAGCTGGGCACCCGGGCGATTCAGTGCAGCCGGGAGCGCGTTTCCCTGCATGTGGCTTCCACTCGGTTTGCTGATTTAACAACCTGGACCGCCGAGCCTCTCCGGGCTCTCGGGGGTCCGCAGTCCCGGCTGGTGGAGAGCGGGCGGTCCCTGCTCCCGTCAGGGTACATGCGCTGGGAAGAGCGCTGGTGACAGCGCCTCGGGTGGGGGTCAGCCGCACAGACACGGAACCGCCCGGCGCTCGCGGCGCTGTGGCAGTGGCCAGGGCTGGGCAGGGAGGCTCATTGTCCTTTCCTACAGTCCCGAATTTAAAGCCGAGCCGCAAACTGAGTTTCCATTAACTCCTCTGAAAGCGAAGCCAGTCTTGTCTGGGTGCTGTTCTTGACGGCATTTGGTCTGTAAAAGCCCCCGAGGAAATGCCCCAGGGGTCGCCCTGTTTCCTGGCCCTCCTGGGACAGACAGCTTGGCTGACAGCTGTTCCCAGGACGGGAGCATATCCCGCCTGCCTCACGGTGGCTTCTCCTTCCCGAGCTCCCTGCTTCTGAGGTGTGGGAGCTGGCGGGGGGAGATCGCAGCTCCTGGCCCCTCGTGGGCGGCTGCCTGTGATCAGGCCCCTCGGGAGGCTCAGCCTGACCCGGGCGCCCTAACCTCCTGCCTGTGTGCTCTCTTCTCGCCGCAGGTGCCGGGAAACCGCCGCTGTTCGGGGATTACGAAGCTCAGAGACACTGGCAGGAAGTCACTGTGAACTTGCCAGTGAGACAATGGTACGGCAGATGTGACTGGATTTTGTTGTTTATCACGGCCAGTTACTGTCTCGTTCTCTGAAGGGCCCTGCCTTTTAACGCTGAGCGTCCTCACCCGGACGCCTCCCCTCTGTTACCCTGGGTACTGTGTGCTCCAGCGTGCAGTAGCTGGGCTGCAAGTGCCCTTGTGGAGCTGGGAAGGGCACGGGAAGACGCCCGTGCTGTCAGGCCAGTGGAGCACTGCCCTGCACTGGGCACCTGGGGCAGCACCGACCTGGCCTCCCCAGCTTCCGCTGTGCGGCACGGAGGCTCGGGGGGCAGCATCTGTGGGACCTTCTGTTTCCAGAGCTCAGAGAGCACCATGGAACTTGGGGTGCAGTTGACACAGGGTCCTGCTGCTTAGACCAGCCTGGTGCCCTACTGCAGATCCTCCTACCTCAGCCTCCTGAGTGCTAGGATCACAGGTGTGCGCCACCAAGCCTGGTTCTGAATTTTTAATCTACTGCAAAAAACACATTAATCCAGAAGCTCTGAAGAGGATCATAGTTTTCCCTCACTCCTGTCAGAGCTTCGTCCTCAGCGTGTGTGGTTTCATGCTTGTGCTTTCTTACCATCAGTGCCTCTTTCTCATCTCCAGGGAATCACAAGGTTAAGTAAATGAAACTGGCATTTGCTTTCTAATGCAGAAAGCCAGATCAGGCTTTGTGTGTGAATGTGACCTTGGACCCCAGCGCAGCAGTCTGTGCCCAGCCACTTAGGGCCAACTGTGGCCCACGTCACGCAGTCTCGCGTCCCTTAGGTCTGACCTCGTGCTTGCCCGGGATGTGTGGCTGAGCCTGGGGCGGCGGGCCCTGGGCAGTGGCCCTGGCTGCTGTGGCTCCCAGACGCACGCTGTCAGGAGGCCGGCTGTGTCCTTGTCCCCGTTGCCCCTGGCTGGCTGCATGCCTTCCGCTTGCTATGCCCATCGCTTCTGCACACACCCACATCTCAAGGACCGATAAGAAGAGCCAGCTTCCTGGGTGTGAATGATGAATTACTTAACAGGATTGTGTTGAATGCTGACTTAATTTTTTTATGGTACTGGGGCCCGAATCTGGAGTGTGCCAGGTGACTATCCCCAGCCCTTTTGTCTTTTTTATCTTGAGGTAGGTCTCACTAAGTTGCCCAGGCTGGGCTTGAACTTGGATCCTCCTGCACCAGCCCCCTGAATGGCCAAGGGTACAGCCGTGCTCTGCCTGCTCCGTGGTCACTTTGTTAAACCCCAAGCAAGGCCTGGTGACACTGGGGAGTCAGGGCCCATGTGACAGGCTCATGAGTGACGGTGGCGGGGTATATAACAGAGTCATCCTCTGTGTCACAGTAGTTGCATGTTGTCCCTTTGCAGTTGAGCTAACTGGAGGAGCCTAGCAGTTTAGGAACATCAGGCCTAATTTTCTTCTTTCATTCACAGAAACTTGCACGGAGGAGGCTGTCATTACATGTTGGTTGAAACAGTCTTACTCAGAACCTACCTGTCCAAGCCAGTGTGGTGGTGCATGTCTGTAATCCCAGCACCCTGGGAGGCCGAGGCAGGAGGATCACAGTTCAAGCCCAGCCGGGGCAACTTGGCAACCTAGTGAGACCCTGTCTCAAAATAAGAAATAAAGAGCTGTGGACATAGCTTTGTGTGAAGGCCCTGGTTTCAGTCCCCAGAACAACACAGCAACCAAAACCAAAAACATAGAAACTGATTCATGAGCTATTTCTTTCTGTAAACCAAATCTTCATGTGTTCTTTGAAGTTGATTTCTTTGTTACATTATGGTTTTTTAAAAAAAGTCGCTTCTCTACTTTTGTAGATTATCAGATGCACACTGTCTTTTTTGTCGCATGCTTCTTGCTGTGTTAGCTGTGGGTGACGGCGGGCCTGTTTCTGGGGGAGTCCTGGCTTGTGTCTGCTGTCACGGCCTAGTTATTAGCCATTGCTGAAAGTACTACGCTTAACTTTAGTTAATTTAAATGCTGTGAGGTGCCACGTTATTCTGTGCCCCGAATACTGGTGAACGGCGTGCTCTCTCCCTTTGCAGGTATTTCAACAGCAGCGATAACGATCTGCAGTACTGGGGGCTGGACTACCCGCCGCTCACGGCGTACCACAGCCTGCTGTGCGCCTACGTGTGAGTCTGGCTTCTCTTGGTAACTGAGAGTTCACGCCTGGGCAGATGCAAAAGAGTGTTCCTCGCTGTACTGCGGTGTGGAGACTCGTGTAGCTACTGTCGCTTTGTTTATCACAAGTGGGTTTTTTGGGTACCGGGGATTTAACTCAGGACCTTGCACTTGCTGGGTAGGCGTGGCGCCACTGAGCTAAATCCCCAGCCCTATCTTAGTGGGTTTTAAGAACAGTAACTATCAGTTTGAGCTTTTATATAACTTCTCTGGAGGACATGAAATTTTGTTTTATTTTTTCATAGAAGAGTGGTTTTTATATTTTCTTTATTAATACCTACCTATACTACATTAAAATAAAAAATTTAAGCTTTAAGAAAAGAAATGCAAAACCATTGCTTCGTTTTGGTGCGGAAATGTTACCAATTGTACACAGACACGGAGAACGAGTCTGATAGGGGTTATCGAGCTTTTTCCTGGGATGACCCAGAGCGGGTGAAAGTAGAGGTCCGAATGGTGCTCACTCTGGTATCAGGTTAGACCCTGGAACTGCTGTGGTGTTTCACTTCTGACTTGAGATTGGACTGCATCGGAGTTCCTCTTCCAGCTGAAGAATATGTTATGGAAGATGAGGTTCTATTTTCATGCAAATCCCTGTATTCCAGTATTTCGTCTCAGGCTGGAGACTTTTGTCAGCAAAAATTTGAGGGACTTCTTCACAGTAGTATCTCTTGAACTCATTTTCCTTGTTTTATCATTTTAGTTTTTCTCTCTTTTTTTTTGGTGTGTGTTGAGGGGTGTCCACAGCGGCTTGGACCCGAGGCTCGTCACCCTGGAGTTAGACACCCAGGACGCTTTATTTTGAGGGCCTGTCCTCTGCGGTGCCTCCTGCTGAAGCGTGGTGGCTAAGCGAGCATTTGTGCTTTGGTTGTCAGGGCAGAGCGCATCAACCCCGCCTGGGTCGCCCTGCACACGTCTCGGGGCCACGAGAGTCAGGCGCACAAGCTCTTCATGCGCGCAACAGGTAAGAGCGTGGGAGGAAGGCTCAGGTTTGAGTTTTTGAACATTTTCGACAAGCAGATAAAAAGTACTATTCTTGTTCAGTCTTTTTTCCCTCTCTGCCTTCTTTAACTTTTTGTTGTGCTGGGGATTGAACACAGGATCTCGTGCATGCCAGGCAAGTGCTCGGCCACTGAGCTACACCCTGCCTTTTAAAATTTTTTGTTTTAACCCAGGATCTTGCTAAGTTGCCCAAACCTCAATCCTGTGATCCTCCTGCATCGGCCTCCCAAGTAGCTGGGGTTACAGCCAGGTGCCACGGTGCCCGGTTTCATTATTATTCTTAATGAGTTTGAAATTGTGTAAGTACATCAGGTGTGGTGGTGCACATCTGTGATCCCAGCGCTCTGGGAAGCTGAGGCACGAGGGCCATACGTTCCAGCCCAGCCCGGGCAACTTAGCAGCTTAGTGAGACCCTGTCTCAAATAAAAAAGGGGTGGGGATGCAGCTCATGCAGAGGCCCAAGTTCAATCCCCAGTATCACCAAAGAGGGAAAAATGTATAAGTGCACACACACATATGTAGGAACGAACATGTGTTACAAGGCCAAATATGTGCTTAAAAAGAGGAGAAAATAATTCTGGGTCCTTGTGCTTATGCTCTCCCTTCATTCCTTGCACACGCAAAGGAGAAACATTGTTTTTACCCTTGTTGGAAGCTGAGGCTCGCAGCTCATGTGAGGGCAGCCCCTGTGAGCCGAGGCTCCCCGAGCAGTCCCTGCCGCTGTCCTCTCAGTAGCCGCGGTTGTGCCTTGCGTGCTTGCTGCAGCGACGGACTCCACCAGCAGCGTCACTGGGTGAGGAGCAGGAGCCCGCGAGCCCAGAGTTTTAAACATGCTCTCCGTGACTGAGGTATCAGCACCAGCTGGTGGGCTTGCCGGCGTCCCCACGAGAGAGACGTCTCTGGCCCGTCTTGTCTCCCACCTGTGGTTCTGCAGCTCTGACAGTTCCCTCGCTTTCAGGGAGATCTCAGGCGTCTAGAGACAGAGCCCAGATCTTTCCTGCTTTTTAGACATGGTCTCACCGAGTCACCAAGTTGCCCTGGCTGAGCTCGGTCCTCCTGCCTCAGCCCTGAGGTTACAAGCGTGCACCACTGTGCCTGGCTGTGTTCTCTTTTTTTTCCTTTTTGGTACCGGGGATCGAACTCGGGTCCCTGTGGTTGCAAGACAGGCGGTGGAACCACTGAGCTAAATCCCCAGCCCTGTCTTCTCATTTTTAAGCCCAAGTCAGGACAGAGAGAGACGCTGCATACGAGCAGGGGTCTGTGATGCATGTGCAGTGTGTTAGAGGGGCCTGAGGAGAGAGCCCTGTCAGTGAGCGCCTGAGGTGAGGCATGCTGACAGCAGAGGGGCCCCGTGGAGCCCCAGTCAGGTTGGAGGAAGACAGGAGCTCCGGCTGCTGTGGATCCTGATGTGGGCATGCTCAAAGGTATTTGCTTGTCTTTTCAGTTTTAGTTGCTGATGTGGTGGTTTACATTCCTGCAGTGGTTGTGTACTGCTGCTGTTTAAAAGAAGTCTCAACTAAGAAGAAGGTGAGCTTTAAAGCAGTCAGACATTTCCTCCCCATAACTGTCCATCTGTTTGTTTGCAGTACTGGCTGTTGAACCTGGGGTCTTCATGCTGAGCTGCATCCCCAGCCCTTTTTCAAAACTTCGAGACAGAGTCTTGCTGAGTTGTCCAGGCTGGGCCCGAACTTGCAGTCCCCCTGCCTCAGCCTCCCAGAGAGCTGGGATGACAGGCCTGTGCCACCTCACCCAGCTTGTAGTGTTTCTTTTAAATCCGTGTAGTACTGATGTACCTTAAGGAAGTCAGGATTAGGGAATAGACAGAATAATGAGGAGCATTATATCTTCTGTCAGTTTTCATTTAGAAAACATCAACTTATTCTACACTAATTATTTTATTTATTTATTTTACTTTATTTATTTGTTTTGTTTTTGGTACCGGGGATTGAACTCAGGACCTTGTGCTTACAAGGCAGGCAGCGGAACCACTGAGTTAAATCCCCGGCCTACACTAATTATTTTAGAAATTACATACTGGTGAATTGCACACCATGCTGCATTTATTATTTAACTGGTAAATCTGAATTTTGGGCTGGTTTTTGAGGATCACTGAGCTGAAAAGCATTTTGAAAAGTTGCTTTTATCCTCTCTTAATCGCAGTTATCAAATATTCCTGGACCACTGTAGATAGGTTCATTTCTCTGATTTGTTTATCTGAAAGTACTTCTGAGAAATGCTCTTCAGTGATTTTCCCTTTGGCTGAAGTGCCCTGTGCTACCTCCATGCAGACTTGATTGTCTACAGTGTGCTAAACATGGGCCACGTGGACAAAAGGCCTCGCATCCCTGGGAGGCAGGGTCTTTGCCACTGTGTTCACCTGACCACATCCTCCTGGGTGGTGGCGGCTTCTCTTCACAGTGTCTTTTTTTACAGGTTGCCAATGCGCTCTGCATCCTGCTGTACCCAGGCCTTATTCTTATCGACCATGGTCATTTTCAGTATCCTTTACTGGCTGCGTAGCCTGAATTCCAGGCCAGTGTGTGTCGTCAGTGGTCACATCGCGCTTGCGAGGTGCTTGCTCGGTTGAGCTGTTGTGTTCCCCATGTTGGGAAAGAGCCTGCTCTCCAGGCTTGTGATGAGGAGAGCACAGTTTCCTAACAGCGGAGTTCCTTTGTCCCCCTCTGCTTGGCTTGGGAACAGGCAACTAGTGAGCTCTTTGGGAGTTGGAAAAGAATGCCGAGTGTGGTCACACGGTCCTGATCGTACAGAGGTGTGGCATGTCTTCTGTTATTTGTGTTTGACACTGAAGAAAAGGACAACAGTCTTAGAGTGTTTAAGACATGAAACAGCGTTTCTCTAACAGGAGTAGCTTGAAGCTTTAGGAAACTAAAACTAAATAAGTCTGTGTGGCTTTTCTGCATTTTATGATACAATAAGGAACATTGAGATAAATAAGTTTTAGAGGGTAAGTTAATAAAAATCTACATGTTTATCCAGCTTGTCTTCTGAGGTAGTAAAGGTTACAATCTCTGTCCATCTCTCTTAAAAGAAAAAAAAAATACACAGCAACATGACTGGTTAATTAACAGCTCTTCCTTTTGGTGCCAATCTCTTTTGGTTATAATAAAATTTAAAAGTACTCTATGTATCTTTAAAAAGAATTTGCAAAAGATTCTCAAATCTGTGATGGTTTTTACCACATATATTTACCTTGTTCATTTTTCCTAAGTTAGGGGACTTTTTGGGGGGGCGGATATTATTTGTAGGATCATGTCTATCTAATACATTGAAATCAAGAACAACGTCGGGCCAGGGATTTAGCTCAGTGGTGCCACCGCCTGCCTCACAAGTGCAAGGTCCCAAGTTCGATCCCCAGTGCCCCCCAAAAAAGAACAGTGTTACTTGCCAGGTTTTTAAAACCATAGCTACTTTGAGATAAGACATCCATACAGAAAACTATGAGAACATTAATGTGTGGATCAGTGAATTGGCAAACTCTGTGCCAAGAAACAGAACACTGCCAGAATCTGAAAAACTACTGTTGTGCACCTCTTTCCTCCTTTCTCACATTCTAACCTCGGCTCGGTTGCTTTCCCATCGCTGAGACACAGTACCCAACACCCACAGCCTAAAGGAGAGGTGCTTGGCTCACAGTTGTGGTGGGTTCATTGCATGGTCCAGGGCCCCAAGGCAGGAAGGCCTGGTGGAGAGCAGGGTGGGAGGAGCCGAGGAGGGAGATGTATTCTTCCAGGCCACACCCCCAGCGATCCACCTCTAGTGACCAGGCCCCACCTCTGAAGTCAGCTATAAGACCCCATGATCGGGACTGAGGATTTAGCTCAGTGGTTCCGCGGCCTGCCTCGCAAGTGTAAGGTCTCGAGTTCTATCCGTGGTACCAAAAAACCCCACAAAAACCACCCCATGATCAATCATCTTCCAGAAGCCCCACCTCTGAACACATGGGGTGCTGGTGGAAATTTAGGCCTAAGCCACAGCAAACTGCCAGTACTCCTATAGGTCCCCACCTATACAAAAATGACAGCACAACAGGTATTTTTCTGTGTTGGGCGTTGTGGGCTTTCCATTTTGTGAGAGTTATGTAGTTGAGTATAGCTGTAGTTTGTTCTCTTTCATTCCTTACAGAATTTCATTGCACAGATAGACATAATTCTGTTAGCGGCATCTGGGTTATGTCCAGTGTTTGGACAGTTTTTTTTGGTGGTACTAGGGATTAGACCCAAGGTATAGGTATGCCAGTCTGCCACTGAGCTATGTCCTCATTATTTTAGTTTTGAGAAGGGGCTTCCTGAGTTTTACTGGCTGGCCTCAAACTTGGGATCCTGCTGCCTCAGCCTCCTGAGGAGGTGGGATTGAATATTCTTTTTTTTTTTTTTGGTACTGGGGATTGAACTCAGGACCTTGTGCTTGCGAGACAGGCACAGTGCCACTGAGCTAAATCCCCTGGCTGAGACTGAATATTCTTACAAATACCTCTTCATGCACGTGTATTTGTGATGGTTGGAGCTGTTGATTGTAGTATGTACCAGGCCTAGTTTTGGGTCACTTCCTGTCATTAGGGATGGTGTGTCAGTCAGCATTATCACAGGCAGTGGTGTGAGAGGCCCCAGGCTTCCCGTCCACACGGCTTCTATCCTTTCCTTTGGCCTTCTTTCTTTCTTGCTGCTTGCTTTGTAGCGGGACTGACTGCTACTCACACTACTGCTGCTGCTGTTATTGTTGTTGACCTTTTTGGGCCCTTACCTACTCCGGCGGTTTCTTTGCTCAAGTGAATGTGTTCTTCACGGTTGTTTTGGACGTTGGATCCACTTAGCGTGGTCTCATGTTTTGGCAGTTCTGTAAGATTCTCCTATGTCTTTGCTAATTTTCCCATTTTTTTCTTGAGCTTATTGGATGAATGTTAGCTCTTTAACCTCCACCTCAATGTCTCTTTGTCTTTTATGATTTAGAAGTTACCATCTTTACCTTTAACATGTCTATTAAATTTCATTTCCTTAAGCATGTTTTCAAGCTCTAATTAGTTGTTCCTTCCTCCTGTTTTTCTTTTGATCCTTTATTTTCTTGATTCACATTGTAAAGGAACTGTGGTGTCTGCAGTGAGTCTTTTCACCTTACTGTTGGAGCACTGTTGCATTTCTCCAGGTTTTGGTCTCTGTTATCGTAAACCGAGAAGTAGTCTGACAGAGACAAAGCTCTGTTTTAACCAGAGCTGGTTTAGCCCTCAGGATATCGGGTGCTGTTTCACTGCAGACGTGCTCTGTTGGAGGGGTCCGTGGATTCGGTTGTACTTGCCTAGGAGTGCTTTCACTGTGTGTGTATTACTCTGAAGTGTACTTTTCTGCATTACTGAGATGGCTTCCTTAACACCGACACATATATAACTCCGTGAGTCTCGGCTTTGCCCTGTGGGGTGTCCTTGGAGTGTCTTGTGACTGGGACCTGCTAGGGTCACTGGCCTTTTGTTTAGCTCTAAATTACAAACAGATGGAGCTTTACCACTCCTTGCCATTCTTTTGCTTTTTACTTGGCAAGTGTTTTCAAAAAGGCCTCAAAGGAAAGGGGTGAGTGACCTTTCAACAATTCAAAATTTACCTCAAAGCATGTATTTGGCAAACTTGTTTTTCCCTTTGCCTTTGGTGGTTTCTTAGAAATGTGTTGGCCATGAGTGAATGGGAAGAAAGCGAGGAAGTCACGTTCTGCGCCTTAAATCCTCCTGACCAGAGCAGTCTGCCGTGCCGACCTGCTGCTGCCTGGCAGGAAGGCGGACTGCTGCTCAGGGCGCTGCCCTGGGGTCCCCATCACGTCCGCAGTAGGAGGCCTTGCCCTGTAGTGCTTCTCTCCCCGCCCCGTCGCCCTAACCCTGCAGAAAAGGCCGTTAAGTGAGATGGAGGTGGGGCGGCGAAGGCCGTCTTGTCTTCCCGCAGAGGGAGAGCGAAAGCCCAGCTCCTTTGGGCTGACCCCGCCTCGGCTGTGGGCTGTGTGCTCGCTGTCCCCGTCCCGAGCCTCCTCCGGTGGTTGTGCGGGGCGCCAGCCTCCTGACTCACGGTGCACTCCCTTCCCTTCCAGGCTGGGCCTGCTGGTGAAGCTCGCGGGCACCGTGGCTGCTTCCTTCACCCTCTGCTGGCTGCCGTTCCTCTCCGGGAGGGAGCAGACTCTGCAGGTCCTGAGACGCCTCTTCCCGGTGGACCGGGGGTTATTCGAGGCATGTGGAGCCGTCCTTGTCACTGTCGTGGGCCTTCCCTCAGCTGGCCGTCCTCGCGGAGGGAGACAGGGACCGGCCACTGCGCCCCAGCGCCTGCCGCTCCCAGCCCCACGCCGAGTCTGTCTGCCAGGGAACGGCTGGCAGCACTGTCGTTTTTTGGTGTAGATTCTCGCTTCAGTCTTAGGAAAGTGGAAGTACTTTTTTTTTTTTTGGTACCGAGGCTCGAACTTGGGTGTGCTTGCAAGGCAGGCAGCGGAACCACTGAGCTAAATCCCCGGCCCCAGTCTTAGGAATGTATTTGTTAAACTGATCCTCGTGTTTGCTATAGAGCGATCTCATCACGCTGTTCCAGATATATAACCCTCAGCCACAGTGGTGTTTAATGAGAACCCTTCATTTCACTTAATGCTAGTTTAATCACTCGTTAAACTTTTATTACATGGATAATTTGATCATTTAGATTTAGTAATTAAATTAAAGAAACCATTTTTCTGAAACAAAAAGGCCTTTTAATAAAGTTAGAGACAACATATTTGTAGACCGTTTGCCTTTGAATAACATTTCTTTTCAAAGAGAATTTAAAGGGCCCATCTCTTTCTGACTTGCATGTATACATGTCTGTAGCGTGTCTCAGTGACCAGCATGAGACCTGCCAGGGCAGTGTCTTCCCGTGTCGGTCACCTGGCCCCTGCAGCAGCTCCACGAGCAGTGAGAAAGCCAGGCCAAGCCCGTCAGGGGCGCGGCAGAGCTGTCACCTGAGCCCTCTTGACCCCTCCGTTCCGTCGAGCACACGCAGACCTGGCTGTCACCCGCCTGGACCTGGCGGGGAAGGGCAGGCCAGCTGCCAGCTCTGATGCCTTAGTGCCAGCCCCACAGCCGAGAGGCAGCAGCTGTGTCGACAACGGCTGTACGAGCAGGAGCGTTGTAGTTGCTAATTTAATTTTGAAAACGATCCTAGCACAACTGCTAAGGTTTTTAAACGTCTTGATTTATGAGCAATTAGGTCTTGTCATTGCTGGTACCCAGTAGGTGACCCTAAATAAACAACTTCAGATATGTAATGAGAAAGGTCCAATGTAATGTGCCGTACGAAGCAGGGCATAGAAGGGTTCTTAGAAAAATTTCCAAAGGAATAAATTCAGTATTTAGGGATAGTGTACTGCTCTTTGAAAAATGCTCGTATGTCCTGGGACTGTCTGGGTTATGGCTGGGTGATGAACTCAGCACAGAAAAAGAAAAATGCTCAAGGAGTGTGGGGGCGCGCTTATTGCTTAAACAGCTTCATCTGCTTTGTCATGCACGTTTCACACGTCCTGAAAGCTTACTGAGAGGTCATGGCTGCATGCTTCATGGGCTGTCCTTTCTTGCAATTACACCAAAATGTAAAACCAACCAATCTCTTTTGTATTTTTTTCAACAAATCTCTTTTAAGGATAAAGTAGCCAATGTCTGGTGCAGCATCAACACCTTTGTGAAGATTAAGGACCTGCTGCCGCGTGACACCCAGATACTAATGAGGTGAGCGGGCAGGCGGCTGCTCTCAGTGTGGGGCCCTGTGCTACGGTTTTCTCTTTCCGAGTCTGCTCAGCTCGCTTTCCTGCTGCCCTGGGGTCGTGACTGGCAGTGTTGTCCAGCAAAGCGGGACAAGGTGGAGACGACTGTGTACGGTGTGTGTGCGCACACGTGTGTGAGCGTTACGCGGGATGGGCTGTGGCTGGGTGCTGGGCGGCCTCTGAGAGGTGGGGGCGAAGGTGACCCTGAGGGGCCATGCTGCAGGCCAGGGCGGGCAGAAGGTGACAGCCCAGGGCGTCCGTGGGCCCGGAGCTCTGTGCCTGGCTTACTATCCTCCTTTTGAGTGTTTGATCATGGACCTCCCTCCTTTTTGCAGCTTTTCTATGCTTGGCGTGAAATATAGAATACATAGTATTCGGTGTAGTATGCTTTACTTTTTCAGAATCACGTATAAAAGTTTGTGTATTTCATTGTATATATTAAATGTTATTTGGGCTTAAATTTAAAGTAAGTAAAATTTTAATTTGAAACAAACTGATAATGTGATCTTTACATTTTAAAAAATGTTTTAGCTGGATTTATACGTCTACAAAGCAAACGACATACTCTATTTCTGTTCCTTTTCTAGCTTTTGCCTCACGTTTTTGAGCTCGCTTCCCGCCTGTGTAAAATTAACACTCCGTCCCTCGCCCAGAGGGTTCAGACTTACTCTGGTAAGTTTCTCATCGCTTTCCATGGCTCACTCTTGCTGCAGCGGATCTCTAATCGCCCACATTTCCTTGCCCAGGACAGGGTTCTCGGGCTGGGAAGCGGCCCCACCTTATAGAGTGCTCCTGCCGGGGCTGCACGGCCCAGGCTGTGTGCGGCCCTACACCCGCGGTGGGTGTGCAGGTGCGGGGCTGGGGACATCTGGTTGCAGCCCCAGCGTGGCCTGGGCAGGCGGCTGCCGTCAGTCGGGAGCTGGCGAGGGCTGTTCATGCAGCGCAGGCTTTCTGAGCAGGCTTCTGGGTCCCACCCCGCCCCGCTTGTTTTCTGTGGTACAAAGGTTTTGTCCCTGTGCCTTGGTCTGTAAAGTGACGTTTAAAGTAGCTACTGAAGCATCGCGATGGCTTAGCTGATGAGCGCAGCACGCAGGGACTGGAAGAGGAGCACTGCGGAAGGAAGGAAAGGAAGGAAACTGCCGTGCCCGCCAGCGGAGTGGCCAGGGTGCGCCTTGGGCCACCACGCTGTCCAATGACCGTGTCCCTGAGCACACTGGGCCAGCTGCTCTTGGCTTGGCGAGGCAGAGCAGACTCTGGAAGCAGTGCGGACTGCAGGTGCACGTCAGAGGTGCCTGGGGCCCGGTGACCGCTTTAGGGCTGGAAGCCAGAAAAACGTTCTTGTTCTCCATTTCCTAATAGAAGACACTGTGTTAAAACAGTTTTGTTAGTGTCTGCTACTGGTTTGAATTCTGATTGTGTACTTCTGAGAGCTTTAGTTTATTGTTTTTGTTTTGAGTCAGGGTCTCACTATGTAGTTCAGGCTGGTCTTGAACTGTGTAGCGCAGGCTGGCCTCGAATTCAGCAATCCTCCTGCCTCAGCCTCCCGAGTGCTGGAATTACAAGTGTGTGGCACACCTGGCTCATGAGAGCTTTAAAAGCATTTGTCATTATGATGATCTCAGTGAATTTCCTTTCACTCCAGTTGGTGAATTCTCAGTATAAATGTGTGAGGGAGGTGATGCAGTCTGAGCACTGCTGTGTCTTTACAGCGAGAGGACTTGACTTGCTTTATTCAGGTACACGTTGCTGAGTGCCCTCTTGGTGCCAGCGCCTCGACAGCCCCACGTGCGGGAGTGACAGGCAGCGCTTCGGCTGCCCACTGGGGCCTCCTGTATAGTGCAGGGGAGGGAAGGTACCCTGAATCTGCCAGCAAGAACATGCGTGGAGTAGGAGGCACGGTGAAGAAACAGTGCGGGGTAGCCAGCTGGTGGGATGGGGTCAGGAACAGGACACCGTTATGCTCTGTTTATTGGGCTGGTCTTTATGAATGGGGCCCTGAACTCCTGGGCTCATGTGATCCTCCTGCCTCGGCCTCCTGAGTAGCTTGGACTACAGGCCTGACCACTGTGTCCAGTGAGGACACCTCTGTAGATTCTGAGAAGCTTCCTTGTGACGGAACATGTGAGCCCAGCAGGGAGTAACCACGTAGGAGCCAGTCACAGGGACACGGGCCCGGACTGGGTCCAGTCAGTGTGTCCTCGAGGCAGGGACTGGACCAGCCGAGAGCACAGAACTGCGAACGGGGGCTGGGCGGGCAGGACCAGGTCCACACGGTGGGTGCGCACGGCAGGCGTGCGCCACCATGGCGGGTGGAGCTGTGGGGACCCGCGGTGGGGACATGCAGGGCCCTCGGTTCTCAGCGTGGCTCACAGAGCTCACATCGCCTGCTGAACGCAGACTTCTGGAAAAGGATGGACGCGCCCAATAGCAGATGGGTTTATAAAACATGCAATAGAATTCACTGAAGTGAACATTTAAAGCGCACTGCAGTAGGTTTGTTCTGCTAGTTTTAGGTTTTGATGTTTGTCCTTCATGCTTTTTACTTTAAACTGTCAGATGCCAAGGGAGGATGAAGATAGGCATTCGCTAAGTTTATTAATGACAGAATTTTGAAGTCATGTGTGGTGGTGCGCACCTGTATTCCCCCATACTGGGAGGCTGAGACTGGACAGTCTCAATTCCGAGCCCATCCTGGGCAACTTGGCGGCTTCACAAGACCCTCCTCAATATTAAAAAATAAAAAGGGCTGGGAATGTAGCTCAGTGCAGAGGCCCTGGGTTCCACCTCCAGTACTGTAAAAATCAAATCGATTTTAAAATCTGACTAAAGTACTGTACATACCGTGTTTATATTTTACTTCTAATGAAGCTAAAGTAAATTAATTTATTTTAAAATTATTATTAATTTATTTTTAAAGTAAAATTTCCTTTAGATTCATCATGAAATTGATCTCATTTCCCCTTTTCCTTTTCAAGGTCAGCTGTGCGCTGTCATTCTTCTTATTTTCCTTCCAAGTACACGAAAAGTCCATTCTCTTAGTAGCGCTGTAAGTATAAACGTTGGGGGTGTGCCTTCATTGTCCTGTGTTCATAAATAAATTTATAATTTATGTAAAATTAATCTAACCCTAAATACAGCCACACCTTTCTTGCGTGCAATTATGACTTTACTTTATACAGTATATTTTAAACAGAAGACGGTAAGTCATGGACGACCTCTTCCTTCCTGGTTTCTCTGTGCTGAGAAGCAGGTGTGGCCTCCTTGGTGCCATTCTTTTCCTCCTCGGCTGCTGTGCAGAGGCGCTCCGGTGACCGAGACAGGCCAGGGCGCCTTGCTCGGTGAGGGTGAACTGGCCCTGAGCCGTGCACGGAGGGCCCTTGGCCGCTGCAGCCTGGGGTCTGCAGTCCGCAGTCTAGGGCTCCAGTCTCACATGCCAGGTGGAAAAGTCATTTTCAAACTCTTGCAGAGCATTTCTTTTTTTTCTTGGTACCGGGGATCAAACTCAGGTCCTTGCGCTGGCGCAGCAGGCGGCAAAACCACTGAGCTAAATCCCCGGCCCTGCGTTTCTTTTTCTTTTTTTTTTTTTAGAAAAGCACCAAGATAATAATAACAGTGGCAAAAATTATTGAACAGCTGTTGTCATTAGAAAGTTTTTGTTAAAAGTAAATACTAGCTGAGCGTGGTGGCGCACGCCTGTAATGCCATCACTGGGGAGGCTGAGGCAGGAGGATTGCCATGAGTTCAAGGCCAGCCTGAACCTCACAGCGAGACTCTGTCTCATACAAACAACAAAAATGTAAATACCAGACAGTGCTTACAGATGAGTGCTCTCAGCTGCTCGATGCCCAGTGCTACTGCCATCGACGTGGCAGAAAACACGGCAGATTCGTCACTGGCCCGGCCCCTCTGTCAGCGGCAGGTGGGACAAGGATACTGGGGCTCAGCACGCCTTCTCCTTGGGCCCTGCTGGGCTGAGGCAGTCCCGTCCGAGCTGTGACCCTCGCCCGTTGCTGTGCCTCCTCTGCTCCTCTCCGCTGTGAGTGAGGGCTCCTGCTGCCCTGGCTTGGGGCGTGGTGCGCTGTGATGGTCTCGGCCCTAACTTTAGTTTTCAGCTTAGCCCAGTAGTGCGAAAGTGGAGGATCATAAAACAGCAGTGTGAACACAACTCTCTTGGGCATGCACTTTCTGTTTCCCAGCCCCCCGATCCTTTTCTTGAGGCCGTTTGTATGGCAGGAGGAAAGTTCCATTAATGGCAGTTTTCCAGTTTCTGTGAAGAGCCGACACCTTCTCTATGTCTTGACTTAGTTTGTACAATTCCAAAAAAATGAATCAGAGCCAGGCATGGTGGCCAGCCACTTGGGAGGCTGAGGCAGGAGGCTCTGAAGTTTGAGACCAGCCTGGGCAGCTTAGTAAAAAGGGCGTGGTAAAGCGCTTGTCTGGCATGTGTGAGGTGCTGGGCCAACCCCCGGTATTGAAAAGGAAATATGAGCATCCCCAGTGGAGTCCTTCGTGGCTTGTGCCTCTAAGCTGGCCTTGCAAATGAGACGATAAGATGTGGTCGCGGGTTTCCCTAGTTACGTGCTGTAGCGTAATGCGAACCATTCCTTCTCCTCGTAGACCCGTCTGCCTAGTTCTCAATGAGGTCCCCTTTATGTCCACTTGGTTTTCCCTCGTGTCCACGTTCAGGTGAGTGGTGCCCAGTGCGGCCCGAGCGCTCGCGCGGTGCCCGGCGGCCTCACGCCCTGCCCTGCCCTGCCCTGCCCTGCCCTGCCCTGCCCTGCCCTGCCCTGTCCTGTCCTGCCCTGTCGTGTCCTGTCTGTCGTCCCCACAGCCTGCTGCCCCTGCTGCGCAAGGACGGGCTGCTGCTGCCGGCGCTGCTCACGGCTGCGGCCTTCTGCACGGCGTGCGCGGCCTTCCTCCCGCTGCGCGAGGCGGCTTCCGAGGAGGGGCTGCGGCTGCGGGCCTTCGCCGGCTCCCTGAGGCGGCGTCTGCGGCTGCCGGGCGCCGCGCTCCTTCCCCGGGCTACCTGGTGGCTGGTGAGTGGCGGGTGAGGGGCGGGCCGTGGTGAGCGAGGACGGACGGGACGAGGCTGCCGGCGCGCTCAGGGCCGGGGGGCGTCCGCTCCGTGGGTCACGGCAGCCGGCCTAGCACCAGCAGCGTCCCTGGGCCCCCGCGCCTGAGCCTGCTGCCGGGCAGTGTGGACCGCAGGCCCCCGCTGCACATCCCCTGGCGGGGCGCACCGAACCGTTCCTCACCTTCCCTCCTCTGCCTCGTGGCATCTCTCCCCTTAGTTCCTCGCCTCGGTGGCCGCTATGGTCCTTCTGACGCTCGCCACTGCCACCCTGCATCCTCCTCAGCGGCTGCCCGACTTATTTTCTGTGTTGGTGTGCTTCGTCTCCTGCTTGAACTTCCTGTTCTTCCTGGTCTACTTTAACATCATAATCATGTGGGACTCCAAAAGTGGAAGAAACCGGAAGAAAGTCAACTAGCTCTTCCAAAACAGATGCGAACTTTTGTTATGTGCAAGTGACTTTAGCGTTCTGGATCCAGTTCCCGGAAAGGAAGTGAAGCGTCATCACTGCCTACAGAATAAGTGTGTGGAGCCAGAGCACAGGGTAGTTTTATTAATGTTAACAGCTATCCAAGTGGAAAAATAAAAGGGGAATGCCCTTAATCCCAGTATTTACTTAGGGAATAGACTGTTAAAACATTGCAAATATACTGAACCTACTGGAAGTATTAAGCCCCTCTTTAAAGAAAATCACTGAGCCTGGGATCTAGCTCAGTGGTTCCGTTGCCTGCCTCGAAAGCGCAAGGTCCCAAGTTTGATCCCCGGTACAAAAAAAGAAAACATTCAGGAAATCACTAATGTTGGTGTTCACATTCATTTTCTTTGCAGTTCAGCCTGACAGTAACATGTGTTTCATTGTTTAGAAGTTATAGCTCAGGGAAGTAATCTGTGAAAATCATTATAAACTGCTTGAATTTGAATATGCCTTATTATGTATGCAGATTTACAGGCTAAACTGGTTTTTACTTCCAAGGATTCAGATTTACTTAAATCTATTTAAAACATGAGATTTCCTGAATTTCCCGTCTTAAATCTAAGTGAGGTCTTTTTAATCACCCGCGCTTTGGTTCTGAGCCTGCAGCAGCTTTGAGTCTGCCCCAGGCGGGGCTCCTTGCGGCCGGCCTCTGCCTCAGCCGCGCGGCCCTCGCTTGTCCCTCCAGGAGGCGGATGTCCATCTGGACGCTGAGGCATCACCACGTTGTGTCTCTCATCGGAGGATGTGCTCATCTCCACGGTGGAAATAAAACCATTGCTCACCGGCCTGTGTGAATCTGTGCCCTGGAAGGCAGCCGCGGGAGCGCTGAGCGCTGCAGGACTGGCACTCGGGGAGGAAGGCCCACACTGACACCCGCCCAGGGGCGCCCCTTCGGGCCTCTGCTGGGGCCGGGACCAGGATGGGAAGGGGCGGAGCCCGCGGGCAGGCCTGGGCGAGGAGCCTCGCAGCGGGACGGGAACGAGGGGCTCGCATCGGGTGGTCCGGCCAGCGGGACGGGCACAGGCCTCGCCCACGGCAGCCGCAGCATGGCGGCACCTCCGGGTGATGCGCGAGGCGGGACAGGCCGCTTGCTGACCGGACCGCGTACAGCAACTTCGGTACCTGGCACGTTACCAAGAGAACCTTAATGAAGGCGGTCCAGGGCCACTAGTTCATCAGATTACTGTCTAGTACCTGTGTTACACGAATAGGTTAAAAAACATCGGAGTCTGAAATTTAATTGAAAATGAGTTACCTTCAATCTTAATTTGTTAAATTTTATTTCAGACTTTAATATAGTATTTTTCATGATACACTGAATCAAGTGACATGCTGATTTTGTCAAAATTTAAGGCAGCTACTGAGGGAGTAGCATTACCCCCTGCAGAAACTGTCAAGAAAGTACTGAATCTTTCAGCACACTCTGGTGAAGTTGTGACATTCTGTGATTCCCCGACACTGTTTCATGAGTGGCAACAGTGACCCTGATTCTATCACAGGTACTGAAGGTAACATGGAAGGGATTGGATTGTACACTCCCCATAACAAAGGTCTTGTCTTTAAATTTCTTGGCACCTGTGTAGCATAGTTTAGAAACAACTTCACTTTTTGGTCTTTTGGCAAAGTGTGAATGTACTGAAAAGTGGATTCTCCTATCTTATAAAAGGGGAAATTTTAAAACTTTGAAAATACTTTTCTCTATAAGCATAAGAAAGAACTAAAGTATAATAACAGCTCATCACTGACACAGTGGCTATGTAATAAACTTCTAAAAGTTAAAAAAAAAAATTAGCCCAGTGCAGGGGTGCACACCTGCAATCCTAGCATTTGGGAGGCTGAGGCAGGAGGATTGCCATGAGTTCAAGGGCTGCTTGGGCTGAATAATGAGTTTGAGGCCAGCCTGGACTACACAGCCAGACCCTGTCCCAACAAATAAGCAGCTGGGGCTTCCACTGGGAAAGATGGTACCGAGTTACACTGGCTGTTAGGTGGAATCTGAGTCCCAGGAAATGGAGAGTGCCATCAAAGCAGAGCTGTTCTGCACCCGTCCACACCACAACTGTGAAGCAGGCGACACGGAAGGGCAGCGGCCCCTCCCTTCTTGCTGACTTACATTAAAAGGTCAAGAAGAAATGTATTATTTACATTGAGATTACCCACTGCTGTGTGCCGAAAGTTTAAATTAGCTGCAAGAAACTTTATCTAGACCTGCAGCTGCCCGGCGCTCGGAGCTGGTATTTGCTGGCAGATTAAATACAGACATTTCTTCTGTTCCCTTAAATACGGTCAGGCGCATGCAGAAGCCGTGCCTAGCAGTGCCTTTCTCCTAAGTGCCTGTAGGATACAAAAGATGATTATTATATCACTGTGGATTCATTTCCAAATTAACATACATCTCACGCGTCACTTCAGACGTGATTTAAACACCCGTTTGGCGTGTGGTGCAGCGCCTCATGTGGACTGGCGGCCTCTCTTGCTTATTCTGAGTCCTCTAAGTGAGAGTGGCCTTCGTACACAACAGCACAGCAGCGCTGTGGCTTCCTGAGGAGATGCTGAGAAACTTGGGAACTGAATCCTCAGCACAACCCTCGGAAAACACCAGATTTACATGGTTCTGTGTCTTCTGAAGCCCTGATGGCCTTTTAGCAGGCGTTTCCTCCAACAGCTGACGAAAATTAAAAATAAATAAAAGCAGGGTTTAGGAGCAGCCCTCTCAGCGAGCTGCTCCCTCCGGGCGCCCTAGTGGTGGCAGAGGCTGCTGTCCTTGGGCCTTAGGAGACTGCAGGGGACAGAGCCTTGGTCTCTCCTCTCCTCCTGCCCAGAGGGGTGGCCCACGTGACAACCTGCTTCCGCCAAACACCTGTGCACTGTCCATTTCTGCGCGGGGCTCACTGCCTGTGCTCACAGGGCCAGAGCTGTGACAGCAGCGTAAGGCAGGGCTCAAGGAGGAGGGTGGCAGATTCTCGGCCGGCCCGAGGGGTCCCAGAGCGGACTGGGGAGCTGGTATCTGGGAAGTGCTACTCTACTCGATGAGCACACTTAAAATACGATGAGCTTTCCTAGAATCCACAGAAACAAAGCTGTTCTCAGTACCACGCTCCCTGTAAGTTCACTGAGACTATTATACACTAAAAGTGCATGTGTCTTTGTGAAATATGACTTGAAAATTATTTACGGACACCCCCAATGGAACGGTTCTCTTGGCTCTTCATGGGTCAGAATTTTATAAAGCGCTTACTGCTGCAGTGAATGAGCGTATGTGAGTGTGGCCTTGCTGAGCGGGGCTATCAGACCTGCCGTTCACAGTGACTGCGTGCGGTCGGGCAGTTGGGCGCTGGGTGAGACGTTTCCGGGATGTGACGGGGAAGCGCTCTGTGCCTCAGCCCCTCACCGACAGAAGGAATGGCCGCCTGTGCTGCAGCATGCTGGGACGACTAAGGGCATGCACGGTGTCTCTGACAGGGCTGACACGTCAGACGTGCTCAATGTTAGCCGCTGTTATCAACGATTACTTACTGCTTTTACAACAAAAAGAACATTTAATGACTGAAAATGACAGTTTTCCCCATGAGATGCTTTGCAGTATTTTGTTAGGTAAGAATGAATCACCGGAAATACCATTCCTAAAGAAATGAGTTTTCCAAATACAATGTCATTCTTTCAGTTTTTTTCTAAGAGATAGCAGGCAACATCTGGTTAGTGTCTAGGACTCCTAGCGCTGGTGCCCCCACGTCTGTGCAAGGCCCGTTCCCAGGTGAACGCCGGGTTACAGGTGACTCCTGCTGCTCCCGGCTGATGTTACAATCAGCTGGCATAAACACATCACCTGATGCTGCTAAATCAATAGGAACTGTTTGAAGGAAAGATACGTAATACATAATTATTTACTTAACCAATTTAGTATGTTTCCAGGTTAACAGACCTGTGCTGTCTTGTTTGGCCGGATGTGTCCTACAGACTCATCTACTTGCCGCTCTCTATCCCGCTTTTACACCAAAGGTGTTGCATTGAGGGCCCTCTGTGTACTCGGTTAAAAACGTGCCTCTCTGTCTTTCACAGAGTGCTTTTCCTACCAGCCTCTGGCTCACCGCGCTTGTCAGGTTGCTTTGCTGTTTTTCATTTGTTTGGTTTTTGAGACAGGTTCTGGCTATGTAGTTCAAGCTGCCCTTGAACTCATGGGCAATCCTCCTGCCTCAGCTTCCCAAGTGCTGGGATGACAGGTGTGTGCCACCACACGGGGCTGCCTTGCTGTTCTGGTAAGACAGTCTGATAACATAGATAAAATGGTTCCACTTGGACAAGACACAGGGAAATTTAATACGGTTAAACTGAATAGAAAAATAAAACAGTACCTCGGTTTAAAATGGCTTCAAGGAGTCCATAGCTGTCAAGATGACATAACTCTGCATGAAAGAAGAAAAGATATTTTAAAAAAACACTTCAAAGTAACTTGTGACATTGTAAGATGCAGAATAAATACTGAATCAAACTTCACTTCTTCTCTGCACAGAATCGGGGCTGTTCTCGCCCCCACCCTGCAGCCGGCCTGGTTCAATTCCCGAGCACGTGGGAGGCCAAAGGCGGGCAGTGCCTGCCCTGTCGCTCTGCATAGCAGCCTCTCCGTGAGCCAGGCCCTCTTCCCCGAGAGCAGCCATCTTCGGCTGGTTCATTACGGCCTTCTCAGAGTTCTTATTTAATAAAACCTATCAAGACTACCATACAAAGCTCCCTACTTACGCTTTATCTTTTACCTGATCAATTTTGGTATTGCTGACACCCCTTCTTCGCCACTTGCTCATTTAAAAATTCATAGTGTGTGCGCTGTGTCTCCGGGGAAAATGTCCATAAAATTTGTCACAGCTGGCAAATGTGTATGAGGCAGCGCTCGCACATGACTAAATGCTTCACAGAAAATAAAATTTGTTTCTGTGGTAAGCAGAACTGTTTAAATGTTATTTATTTTTATGTTTCAAAGAAAATATATTGTGAAGTGCTGCATTGATTTAATACGCAGCGGTGTCTGTGTACACGCCGTGGAGGGGAATTTATGAAACCTTTGCACAACTCCTTTAATTGAATTTTCCAAATCTCTCACCACACACAAATAATCAATATCTCCTGCAGAGAAAACCAGTCAGAATTATCACCGTCTTTCTTTTCAATTCTGTTGTCATCAGCACAGACCAGTGCTGGGGTATCTGTAATGTCACCACCGAGTTATTTATGCGTCAGCACGCTACTGCCATTATGATTGAGTCCAAACGTAGTTTTAACTTTTACTTATTCAAAAAATTATCACAACCCTGGTAAAGTTATAAAATATGTAAATCGTGGAAGAAACTACTGAAAATTTAGGACTGAGGACCCGTTTGTCGCCCTTAAAGCCAGACGCACCTTCGGGGCTTCGGGGAGGTGGCGCCCGCGCCCATGCGCACGACCTCGGCCCGCAGCTCCCTCTCTGCAGAAGCACGGGGAGCCTCAGAGCAGAAAGGGATCCGATCATCGCGTCTGACCTGAGACCTCAGACTAGAAAGGGCATCGTCGTGTCTGAACTGAGACCTCAGTGCTTCTAAAACGGCAGTATCTGAAGAAAAGACACTGCTTAGGGCCTAACAGAAAGCACCAAAAGGCAGGCCATCCTGTGGGCGCAGAATTAGTTAGCTGATATGGTGACTACTTTCTCAAGACTAACTGAGGGTGAAGACAACGTATTTTTATGTTTAAAAAATACGTCAGTGGGTGGTTAGAATGAGAAGGCAGCATCAAACTATTTTATAGTCTTACGAGGGGTTTAACATTCATCCTGTAGTCTAAATTTGATAACTTTAAAATCCCATAACCAAGATGAATTTTATAGTGGAAGAACACAGTCAGTTAACGAAAACAAACAAACCGGGAACACTGTAATTATGATTTTTTAGAAAACACCAGAGCTAAAAATTCTGAAATATTTTCTATTAGAAACAGCTGAAACAATCCACTCTTTTGAACAAAGTAAAGTTCAGATGGTTATATTTCATTTAAAATATGCATACTGCAACCTACACAATTATTCTCAAAACAGATAAAATATGTTTTGGACCGAAGCTAACTGTCTAGATTTCATATCTTGCTTGGCAACTGCTCTACAGTTTGCTTACATTCTTTTCAAAAACATTTTGTTTACTGGAAGTACTAGGCATAGACGAACAATGATGGCATTTTTAAATATCTGCAGAAAAAATGAAAATGCTAAGGACTACAGAAAGCCATCTGTTGACTAAGGAATACTTGTACCAAGTTGTTCTAGAGGTTGACTGTGTAAAGCAAATAAACTCCATGCCTCCCATGTGATGACAATGTGACATTCCACAGCAGCAGCCCACTGAATGGTCCTATGTCTTCAATCCTCAGCATAACAAATTTAAAATAATTATGAAAATTCACATCCAAATCTCAGAAAAAGAACCTTTCATTTCATTATTTCCCCAATGGTCATAGAGCCAGTATTATTAAGCAGAGTGAAGTTAGGCCTAGCCCGAGGAAGGGGAGGAAGCCTTGCTTTGTCACAAACGCGATCCCGCAGCGGTCCCGCAGAGGAGACAGGAGACCGCGGGGTGTCCGTGGGTGGGGCCTGTCCTCAGGTGTGGCCTTGGCCACCAGGAAGCTTCAGGGAGCCTTTTCCCTGTTTACCGAAAAGGCCACAGTGCTATTTCACACTGTAACCTTCCCATAATAATGACTGCAAGTGACACTAAGTGAAGGGAGCTGGCACTGAAATAAAAAATAAATAGAACTGAAAGACGAATGAGGAGCCATGATAGCATAAACACTGCCACTCCTGGTGTTACCTACTTTGATTGCTCTGGGAAAACTGCAAGAGTCTGAAGGATGGGAAAAGAACCATTAAAGAATCATTATCAGCGTCATCAGCATCAGAGGGACACGCTTCTGGTGGCGAAATAAATCCAGGGCTTATTCTCATTTTCATAATTACTGAAACAAGTACAGTAATTACTGTACAGCAATTTTTCATATGATTTCTAATGTTATGAAGAACTGTAAAATGTTTAAAAATTTTAACAATTCTGGGTAATAGTATAGTAAAAGAAAAGCAGAAATATCTATAAAAAGTTGGAAGTCAAATCTCAAAATAAGGCAAACTGGTTTGAGATGTCAAAAAATAAAAACAGGGCCAGGGATTTAGCTCAGTGGTTCCACTGCCTACCCTGCAAGCGCAAGGACCCGAGTTCGATCCCCAGTACAGAAAAAAAAAAGAAAGAAAGAAATAAAAACAAAACACCAATAAGCAAAGTACTCTTAGAATGAATGGATAAGGCAGGGGATGTAGCTCAGGAGTGCAGTGCCTGCCTCACAGGTGTGAGGCCCTGGGTTCGATTTCTGGAACAACAACAACAACAAAAAGTGGATGAACAGGAAGGGGTGAAAGTTGTTAGCTTAGTACAAAAACGTGAGTGAGTGTGCACACGTGTGCTTGTACTTATGTGCTGACATCATCTTTAACAACTACAACAAACCCCAAACTCACTATACACACGTTAGGGACCAGAGAAAGAAGTGGGGCAAGCACTTGGTAAAGTCGGACCACTCCAACTCAAACTACAAAGAAAATAAGCTTGAATCTGTTCTTTAGACAGCAGTAATTTTCCAAAATTTGCTGAAAAGCTAATGCAGTTTTGAATATCTCCGAAAATAGAGCTAACGTAGTTCTTGCCAAGAAACAGAAATGGAAGATGATTAACATGTAATACATATCAATATATAACAAATACATGAAACTATATTCCTTGTGATATACTTTAAAATTCAGTTTTCATTTAAACCATGACAGGTGATCAAGCTCATTAGAAATGTAAAAACATGATCTAGTCGTACAACTTCCTGTAGGAATGAACAAAACTCAGCATTTTGGAAAATGCGCTGATGGCCCGTCAGTCCGACTAGAGCAGACCGCAGCCTTCAGGCCGATCTAACCCTGGACAGGCGGAGGCAGAGGCGTACAGAACCGCGGCGGAAGGGCAAAAGCACCCCATCTCGAATGCTAGCCGTTTTGGAAAAACTTCTTTACATTCATGGATTTGTTCTACAATTTCCTCTTCCTCATTTCTCAAAACCGTTGGTAAGGGCCGGGGATTTAGCTCAGTGGTTCCGGCGCCTGCCTCACAAGCACAAGGTTCCGAGTTCGATCCCCGGTACCAAAAAAAAAAAAAAAAAAAAATCAAAACTGTTGGTAAATGTCAACTATTTGGCGCCTAATTCTAGGGAGTTCTAGGAAACGACAAATTTAAAAACTCGAACTATTGGCACAGAACACAGAGTGCAGACATTTCTCCCCACTGGGAGATGAGCCGTGGACGTTTCGCACCCGCCCCTCCAGCCGGGTCAAGCGAGGAGAGCAGGCAGGCGACGCTGACTACGCAGTGCTGGGCGGGCTCGGGGAGGAGCGGCCGCCTTCCTCCCGCACCCGCAGCTGCCCTTACAGGCCCGGCCCCGCTCGCTGGGCTCAGAGCTGCCTGACAGGGCCACTTCCTGTACTTCAGGAAGCAGCAGCATAGCTCCGGGGTCACACTGGCCCTTGGTCGGAATCCGAGCTCCGTACCCAAGGGGTGGGCTCTCGGGCGAGTTGCTTACTTTGTGTCTTTGTTTCTCGCCTACGGTGACAATGCAAACAGCTGTCTGCGGCTCCTGCAGACACCCGCTGACCCTCGCACTGGGCACAGGGTCACTACAGGTCCCACGACAGAGACCAAGGCGCGGGCGGCCAGCCGGGCGGACTCCGGCAGAGAGGCTGACGGCCGTGCCTGGGTCAGCAGCACCGAAACGATCGGCTCCGCAGGGCCTCGGTGTTGCTAGTTCGCGGTGCACGATGCTTTCGCTCCCTGAGGTGTGGACCTCTTTCTACCGGGAAAACTGCTCGCTTAGCTCCCCATGCCGCCAAATGCGCAGAGGCTAAGCTAGCAGTTCCTGCCGGCACCTCCTCAGTGACTGCAAAGTTTCCGAGACACTGCTTAGAAAGAAACTTTGAATGCTTTGTGCGTCCCGATCCACAATGAAAGCTGGTGTAGTAACGCACTGTGGTTATTTTTGTCTATACTCTGAAAAAGACAATTTAATAAAAAAGGCAAAACTTAAAATTATGTTAAAGATTTTAAAATGCAGTCATGGGGCCGGGGATTTAGCTCAGTGGTGCTGCCAACTGCCTCACAAGCACAAGGCCAAGTTCAATCCCCGGTACCAAAAGAAAAAAAAAATGCAGCCAAGAAGGACGTTATCTCATCAGACATAGTCTTCTGAGCTTAATGAAGATTGGTTTATTTGGTGACAGGAGACAAAAACATCTCTTTATGTAGCAAAATTCAATTCCTTACCTTTGTGAAGAAGTCCCGAAGTTTTCTTTTCAAACAGCTTTTGTTTTGTTACTTTTGTCACTGAAAGAAAAAAAATCCCGTCAAGAATTAATATGCTCGGGCTGGGGATTTAGCTCAGTGGTTTCACCACCTGCCTTGAAAGTGCAAGGACCCGAGTTTGATCCCCGGTACCAAAAAAATAATAATAATAATAATAAAAGAATTAACATGCATGAGTAATTTCTCAGAACAATTTCATGAGAAAAAATTATTCAAAGTAACACGTATCTATAGGTATCACATATAAAGTACAATGGTTTCTTAACTATTGCTTTTTTTTTTTTTGTACTGGGGATCAAACTCAGAACCTTGTGCTTTCGAGGCAGGCACAGCACCACTGAGCTAAATCCCCGGCCCTTTGTTATTTTATTTTTAAAATGAGCTCTATAGCCAGATGTGGTAGTGTTCGCCTGTCATCCCAGCAGTCTGGGGATGTAACTCAGCTCGAAGGCTCTGGGTTCAGTTCACATAAAAACACACTAGCTGTCTCTAAGACATGATCTTTTCCTTCCTACCCAAAAGGCATCCTTGAAGTAACACATCCCGGCAAAGACACACAGCTTCTTACTTAAAGAAGACAGCGGTATTTCCAGCATGTGTTTTGTTTTTTTCTTTGTGGAACCGGGGATCAAACTCAGGACCTTGAACTTGCCAGGCAGGTGCTGCAGGGCTGAGCCACATCTCCGCCCCTCCAGCATGTGGTGATAATGGTGTGTATACAAAGAACTCTATCAAATTTAAATTGGAGAAAAACTAAGAGGCTTGTCTTTAAAATTACTGCCCAAGCCGGCCAAGGTGGTGCACGCCTGTGATCCCAGCACTTGGGAGGCTGAGGCAAGAGGATCACTGTGAATTCAAGGCTAGTCTGGACTACATAGTGAGTTCAAGACCAGCCTGAATGACACAGCAAGACTCTGCCTCAAAAATAAATAAATAAATAAAATCAACTAACTACCCCTAAAACCGCATAAATTATTCTTACATAGTTCTTTGGTTTTCTTCACTTCTCTTTTTAAGAAACGTGATGTACAAGAGGTACCAATGAGATTTTCCAACTTCTTGTTGCCCTCTAAAGCCTGAAAGAAAGTAATCTGAAATGAGTTAAATATGTCTCTGTAAGATTACTGACGAGAGAACACGTAATATGCTGATTCCTTCATTTGAAAAATTTAAGCTCCATGTTAGGAAGTGAACTGTGTCTGGTATGTCAACTACTGCAAGCCTTAGGATTCCTGAATGAAAATAATTTACTGATTAAAAAGATTAAACATAACCTACAAATTTACTTTCAGGTGTGAAAAAGCCAGCTATTATAGCACTAAAGTATTGTGGCTGAGCAGTATTCATATGAGCAAAGAGATCTGCAAGAACGATAAATGACACATGGGATCTGTGAACTCCTCCCAGGCCGGGGGCTCGGGAGGGCTTCTTTCCTGTTCTCCTTCACAAATGGTAGCGCGGGGAGGAAAAGTTATGCAGAAACAATTTAAAAAAGCCAACCTGTGGCTGGGGATTTAGCTCAGTGGTTCTGCCGCCTGCCTTGCAGGCATAAGGACCTGAGTTCAATCCCTGGTACCAAAAAAAAAAAAAAATAATAATAAGCCAACCTGTACACTCCTTAAGTTCCACATTGTCTCCACGATTTCTTCCAATGATTTCTCAACTTTAGAGAATACCACCATGAATCTAGGAAGGAAAAGAGAGAAAGTGTAAGGACTCGGACGCTGCAAGTCATTTTCAGGGCTTTCATTCTACTTAAAGAGACTTCCACTCGCTTTTCTAGCCCTTTCTTCACACCTGTCCAAGTGGTAGACGATGCCTAAGCTCCCTTGTTCTTCACACAGTGCCTGTTCTCGCCTGTCCTCTGGAGTCCCACTGTCACTCCCACAGAGCCCGTGCTGGGCCCTCTCCGGGACACCCTGTCCACTTATTTGTCTTGGTCTGAGTCTGTGATGTGTCACTCTGATTTTTTAAAAATAAAAAGTTAAGTTTTTTTTTCCCCTGGTACTGGGGACCAAACTCAGGACCTTGTGCATGCTAAGCAGGTGTGGCACCACTGAGCTAAATCCCCAGCCCCAAATCAGTAAGTTTTTTTTTTTTTTTTTTTGGTACCAGGGATCAAACTCGGGTCCTTATGCTTGCGGGGCAGGTGGTGGCACCACTGAGTTAAATAAATCCCCGGCCCTTTTTTATGGTACCGGGGATGGAACTAGGGACCTTGCGCTTTCGAGGCTGGCAGTGGAACCACTGAGCTAAATCCTCTGCCCCAAATCAGTAAGTTTTATGGCTTATGTATTTCATATACATAAGAGTTATAATCTTTTAAATTTGAAAATAAAAGATTTTTTTAAAACCCTAAATCCCACCTTCTGAACATATCTCCTAGATTTTATTTTTGGTACCAAGGATCGAACTCAGGACTTGTGTCTGTGGGGCAGGCAGCAGAACCACTGAGCTACATCCCGGCCCAGATCTCCTAGACTTAAAAAAATGGTAAGCTTAAGCCACGCTTTCTTTACTCATGCAACATCACACACTTGGGGGCCATGCGGTACAAACATCTGTGATTCTAGAGGCTGTGCAGCAAGCAGTCTACCTGACATAGCAAGAGAATTTGACCATTCCTTCTCGTTGCAATTTCAGTTCCTTGTCCAACTTTAAGATCCCATTACTGTATACAATAACCTGTATCAGCACAAAACAATAGAAGGCTGTGTGTGAAATTTAAAGATTTCAGTAGCCCCAAGAGGTGAACTTAAGTTTTAATAATGTGTCAGTGTGTCACCAGAGCACACATCCACACTCCCGATTTGAGAGAAATTAGAAAGGTTATCTACATGCTCCTCGGGGTCATGGCAGTGTTTCCCATTAAAATTTTGTGCTGTGTGCTTGCTTCGGCAGCACATATACTAAAGAAAAAAAAATTGTGCTGTTCACGACAAACCTGAGATCACAATTTTCACATCCAGTGGGGACAGCGTGAGGGAGCAGAGGCAAGCAAGGCCTAAGAATGCGAACAAGGCACCGAGGCTCGACAGCACGCATCCAGGGTGAAAAGCACGAGGAGTGGAGTTCCGGATCATTTTTCTTTAAAACTTTGCGGTATTTTAAAGGGTTCAATTAAAGTCGTCCATCTGAGGCCTCAGGTGCCTCACACCGGAAGCTCAGCTCCGCGGGTCCTGCGGGGATTCCTGTCCTCCACAGCCTGCAGAGCCCAGGGCTTGCGCCAGATGGGCGTGCACGGGCAGCCTGAGCTGCAGGCCCCCTCCGGCCGTCCTGCCATCCTGCCCTGCCTTAGCGAGCCGCTGCCCGCCGACCCTGGGGACGGTGGGGGCTGGGGTCGCAGGTCTGCCATCCTGGGGCCTCCGAGGGGCGCTGTCACCGGAGTGAGGCATCTGCGATACCCTGACGCTGTGCAGTGCTGCACCCCCAAAGCAAGCACCTCCTGGCAGCTGTCCCAGACAAAGCCGGTCCTGAGGAGCCATGACGGAGTGCAGTGACCGGGCGGGCTCTGCAGGTCTCGGCTGCGCTCAGCGCAAGGTGCCCTTCCCCGCAGAGGCCAGTGGGCGAGTGCACACCCCACGCTCCCCACATTTTCAAGGCCCTTTTCTCCTCCTCCTTCTTCCCAGATGAAATCAACTTCTCACGGAGTGGTTTCGTACCTGTACCTGCCACACCCGCTAAAGCCCGAGAGGGCGTGAGCCCCGGAGCGGCCCTCTCCCAGGCCTTCCCATTTCGCGCAGGGGCCTTCACAATGCTCGGTGAAAATCCGCTTGCTGGGCAAATCAGGGAAATAAGAGCTGCTATTCCACCCCAGCCAAGGCGACAATTTTTAAAAGCATTTTTAATGCCTTTGTGCCAGAAACTAAGTATTCACGGCCCACTGAGGCTTTCCATACTCCGGATGCAGTTAACTCCCCCGCACTGCGCTGTGACAGCACCGCTGCTTGCTTCCGTGTCCCTTGAGTATCGTCCTGCCTTGCCACACAGATTTATTTCTGAAAACCAACATCTCTGAAGCTATCTGCAGGCCGCATTCTCCAGTCCACTCTCGCACGAGCTGCGGTCCGTCTGGGGAGAGGCTCGCAGTACCACGGGCGGCCTCCTGCACCCCGCACGACCCGGCTGGACAGTGGCCCTGGCGCAGAGGGACGCTAGGCCGCCCAGATGCCGGTGGGCACTGCGTCCAGGCACCCTGCGCGTGCTGCAGGCGGCTCGCATCTGTACGTTTGATCACACTCTGCACACAGCCAGAGATACCGCACACAACTTGAGAAGCGAAGCACCGGAGCCCTGGTTAGTCAGTAAATCCCAGGCAACTCTTTTTTAGGAATCGGGCAGGTCCTCTAGGACGCCTTTAGAAAGAGACTGGCCCGCTTGGGCTGGCTCACTGAGAAGGTGTTCAGGAGTGGACACTTCTGTCAGGTTACCTCCGCTCAGGGCGACTCCTGCGGTCGTCAGCGCTGAGCATCTTCTATCTCTTGGGAAAGCCAGATGTCAGAAATTTAGGAGTTTTGGTGCATCTTTCCGACTTGCTTAAAAAGGTGGCACTGCGCAACCCGGAATTCCCTCATTTTCCTCAAAAAGGAAGTCCTTATCACTCTGAAGAACTGAAATTCAATTCTTCAGTCAAATAAAATCCAGGGGAGGCCCTGGATATATCCATAATTATACTTTTAGTTCCCGTAATGTTAATTATTTTGGTTTCAAACAAGTGATGTGAAACCTGACTTTTAAAACTGTCATTCTGCTCCATGAAGTGTGATAAATACAGTGAATATTTACACTAAAACTTTATTACAGTAAAAGACACTGCCACTCATCCCCTCAGAATCCTCCCCTTGTTTCCAACACATTTATGCTATCATTCTTGTCCCTTCCTGAAGCAGTTCTGAGAGCCCTGGGCCACACAGATGCCCGCACACGCATGCATGCAGACACATGTGCTCAAACGCGTGTGTACACACGCAGTACGCACAATGATTCTACTCCTTTTACTTATTTTTATTTTGGTACCGGGGATCGAACTCAGGTCCTTGAACTTGCACAGCAAGCGGCGAAACCATTGAGCTAAATCCCCGGCCCCCCTTTTACTTACTTTAATGAATATTCCTTTCACAAATTATTGAGCAAAGTAATACCCTAACCAGTCTCCACTTCCTTCATAGTAAACTTAAAGCTCTTATATTTCTGCCTTATTCTGCTCTCTTAACACAATGCTTACTTTCTAAGGACACAAATCCTTAATTGATTTCATTACTAAAAATTGTTCTCCTAAGTTCTGACCTCTGAGAAACTGTATTTTTTATAACATCTTAAGACCCGAGAGTTACAGGTGGACGACCGGGATGAAACCCTCAAGTTTACCCTCAAAACACTATGACCCAGACAGAAAAAAGGGAGCAGTCTCCGGAGTTTACTGAGCTGTGTCTAAACTGACTGTTTTGGGTGATAACAGCTGGGTCTTGACAACAACCGGGCCAGGGATGTAGCTCAGGGGCACCGCACCTGGCTCCCAAGTGCAAGGTCCTGAGTTCGATCCCTGGGACCGAAAAAAAAATACAGGCTGTTAGCAGAGAAGTACTAATAGACTGAGGCAGACTGTTCAGAGAATACAGATAAAATAAGATAACAAAATACATCAAACACTTTTAAGTGGTAAGATCAGGGCATTGTATTTGTTACTTTACAAGCTATGCTTTAATTTTCAAAACTCTGGGCTAAGTATCTCAAATATATAAAAAGGCACAAAAATTACTTATCTAGGGTTATATAACTAGTTCCAGGCGTGTCTGACCCATGCTCTGACACCGTTTCACATTATCTCCAAAGGTGTGATCCACTCACTTAGCACCGCCACTGCCATTCACTTAGAATTCCTTGAGTGAAGTGCTAAAAATACACATTCCTGGGCTGTATCCACCCACTGCTCACTACCTGAGAAGATGGGAGCCAGAAATAACCATTTCCAGGTGCTTCTCCAGTATGGCACAAGTAATTAGGTGCATTTTCTCTAAAGATTGGTCAAAATTTAAAAATCTGTGTTCAGTACAAAAACTGACACTTGTCAAAAAAACTTCACTTTGTGTTTAGGCCTGTTTATTATACTACACGTTGTAGCATGTGTTAGAACTTCATTCCTTTTAACAGTGATATTCCACTGATGAATATGTTACATTTTGTATATCTATTCATTGCTGATAAACATTTGGTTATTGTGAAATGCTGAAACTGACACAGTGTACAAATATCTGAGTCATAGTTTTCTGCTCTGAGCATGTATGCAGAAATGAAATTGGTCAGTCAATAATTCTATGTTTAAAGTTTTGGGTTTTTTTTGAGACAGGGTCTCACTATGTAGATCAGGCTGGGCTTGAACTCACTGTGTAGCCCAGGATGGCCTCGAACTCAGAGTGATCCTCCTGCCTCAGCCTCCTGAGTGCTAGAATTACAGGTGTATGCTGCCACACCTGGCTTACCATTTTTGTATTCTCAATTCTATTTCATTTCTTTATGTGGCTACTCTTACACCAAAACCATACTGTTTGGTAGTTAAGTTTTGAAACTTGGTAATGTGAGTTCTCTGACTTTCTTCTTCCCTTTTAAGGCTGTTTGATGTGTTTGGAGTCTCTTGCAGCTTTATGTAAATTTGAGGATGGGCTTTTCCACTCCTGTTTCATTTTTAT